CATATGTGTATGTATTTCAAGTATTACTATAAACTGTAAATTTTAAATCGCTATATTTTCAAAACACAATGGTCAACAATTCTGCAATTTTTATATATCTCTATATTATGTTCTTAATATCACAATATCGTTTTTCATAAAAATTCTAAATATGGTTTAGAAGAAATTAAAAGTAGAAATTAAAAATAGGATTTTAATTTCAAGGAATATGTATAAAAAATGTTATCCTTAGTTGTAAATATTTCAGCTTCCGAATGGTCAATTTACTTCTAATTGTGTCAATAATTAAGCCATATTTTTAAACCCATAAATAGTGCAAGTTAGTTTTAACGAATTCTTAAAAGACTCACTTTATATTATTACTATCTGATATCTATCTGTTATTATTTTAAATAGTAGCGCATATCTAAATTCTCAAACTTCAGTATTTCCTCAATGACATTTTCGTATTGCGGAATTTCACAAACAGAATGAGATTATGATGAGAAATTTTTATTCTAAGTGGAGATACATTTCGTCATATCGAAAGACATTAAATTCGAAACTACAAATCTTTTAATCGCGGACATGCAATTATAATTTCGTAACTTTTTGTCGAGAGGTAGAGGACGAGCAGTCGTCGATATTAACTTGGCAGATTTTCGGAGCATGAAATCACCTCACCTGCGTGTATGTGTCGAACTCTTTCATTTCCGATTTAGTCCCTCGAAGTAATTCGCTAACAAGTATACTTAAAAATGTTGCACTTCACCTTCATTTATCTGACGGAATGCCGACCGAACTTCTCGCTCTGCGCAACATTTCTAACCTCTGTCGGACATTGCGCAGAAATCGACCTAATCGATACCTCGACCAGCGACAGGCAGGAAGAGTTCTGTCGCTCTATGGGAGGCATGCTCGAAGTATCCTCGAAAATATTTCTGTTAAATAAAGGTTTGCCAAGCGTCTGCAAGCGACGAGATGTGGCAGATAGTCGCCAAAAGAGCGCCGGAACGGCATTTTGTGAGATCTCATGCGTTCATGAGATAGACGACAAAGAGCGTCGGGGGCGTAGGTTAATTTTAAAAAATTGCACGTCGCGCGTAAGTGGCCGCCATTAGAGTTAGATTACCCGTGACGATCGACGTCTCTTTAATCATTTAAAGCGATGCCAAATGTTCGGCGATTGCCGACACAACGATTCGCGCTAATGCACGAAACATTTCATCACTGATAACTTAACCTTTCATCTTGTTCCTCCTGCATGCATAATAATATAGATTTCTATACGGTGTCATTGGCGCCTCGTAATTATTTAACGCGGATATCTCGTCTCGTATTTCACGACTTGCTATTTGACTTGAAGAGAAATGTGAGATCTAATATAGTATAGAGGAACTCGGGCTAAAATGAAGACAGTAAGAGAAAGACTTAATAAAAACGGAACAATCTTAATGAAATTTATTAAAACTTTTTTTTCATTATCAACATTAAACTTTGACGTTATATAGTCAAATTGAGACTAAAAAAAATAAACAAAAAAAATTTTTTTTCTAAATCTCTTTGACTCATCTTATCCCACAACTCGGGATAAGATGGGATAGCATTGATAAGATGGAATAATTGAAGACAAGATAATTTCTGTCACGATTGACACATAAATAAATCTTACTTTTTTTTTCTTTTATGTCAAATCCCACACAAGATTCACGTGTCTAATGTTGACGAATTTGACGAGCTATTCAATCTTCCACATGAGTCAGGCCTGCGCAATACATGCATTAAATATTACTAACAAGGCGACACAAAGTTATTTAAAAATACGGCAATCTATTTAATACTAATGAGAATTATTAAGATAATATGATAATATCATTTTGCTTAATTTAGTTGACTCCGTTCTGTTCCAAATAATAAATGCGAAATTACGCATGTTTTGTAGAATAACGGAATTGAATTGATACAAAAAACTAATCTACTATAAAATATGACATATTAATATCGTATTACAAGCACAAGTTATCTGATATGGCATTAAATAATTCATAAAATTACATCAGATTTATTGATTTTCACAAACTTATTCGAATTTGCGACATATGTAGTTTCTGTTATTGTTCATCACTAATATGTCGACTCGTCTCTCTCTCTCTCTCTCTCTCTCTTTGTCCTATGCAAGTCAAAGTCTGTAGTTGCATAGTTATTTCTATATAGCGTTTCCCCTCTTATCTTGCTTGCCCGAAATTTCCATAAAAAGAATTTCTGTACAGGATGAAGTAACACCAAATGTCACACTCGCCGTAGATAAGTGAAGGAGGGGAAAGAGTGTTATTGTACCCTACGAAGGACGAATATCTATAAGAGAAATAGATCAGGTTGAAGGAAAAGGGATATGAGAAAGCATTTAATGCGAGCAAAACCACGAGTGAAATGAGTAAAATGACTAAAATGAATCAATTAAACCGTGTTGAAGGTAAGTATAAGAGGCTAAGAGATGCAAGTAATTTCCGTAATAGTCAAGAAAATCTTAGTGAAAGCATTAATAAAACTGAATAACTAATTCCTCCAGGTTTTTCACGCCGCTATTTTCAGCAACGTAAAGCTCGTCTCATTCACGATTGTGTTGTTTCCCAACTTGACTATATCTTACTTGACATAGTCGCTTAGACGAAGATCTCACAAGATATTTCTAAACGAACGTCACACGTCGCATAGACTCGCATCTTTCGTCGAGATTCATCGTTGCCAATTTCGACTCGGATTATTCCATCGAGATAATAAGTTTATTTGACGTACTCGGCGAGAAAGAATGGCCAGGTATTGACGTTCGTTTTGTAGGAATTCCATATGAAATTATGAACGGTGCGGGTGCATCGACGGCGCAACCGCGAAGTAGCCGAAAAATAAACGAGGGAGGAGCGCGAGAAGAAGATGATATCGTGAGGTAAAGTCGAGCGAACACGAGCGCAGCGTGCTGCAGGCACGACATAGATACCGGACCGTTTGATTACCGCTCAGCCGACATCGAGCAGCGAGGCGGATCATTGGAGAGAGGGTAAAAGAGAGAATGTGTATGTGTGAGAGAGAGAGAGAGAGAGAAGAGCGGGAAATGAGACCGGTGTAGAAGCCTAAGGAACGATGGAGCAAAGAGGGTGAGAGAGAAAGAGACGAGGGAAAATACGTCGGCGAAGACGAGCCGGCGAATACGACGACATATCGGTAGCGATAGAACAAGAAGGAGAAAAAGAAGAGAGAGAAACGAAACAAAGGAACAACGAAGGGCGACCGGGAGCGCGTACAAAGAAGGGTAGCAGGAGAAATAAAGCGTAGGAGAGACACGAAGAGGCAAAGAGAGATCAAGCGAGACGGAGAGCGATAAAAAAAAAGAGCGAGAGAGAGGGAAAGAAAAAAAAAAGGGAGAAAGAGGAAGAACGTCGGTAGGAGGAGAGAGCGTCGAGATGGAGGTGGACTCGCGGCGTCCTGTGCGGCAAGGAGGAGAAGGATGCGAGAGTCGCGGAGGAGGCAGAGAGAGGACAGGCACACGAATCGATTAGGTGCGCGGTCGGCCATTTTGTTGCCGGCTCGCCGGGGTCGCGGAGGCGTGGATGCGGGACGGCGTCGACTCCACCGCGTGGACGAATCCGGTCGGGATCGCGCGCCGTTCTCTCGCGTTCGATAGGACGCGCCAGCGTGGACGCCCGAGGCTGGAAGGGAGGAAGGTTAGAGTCCGGGGTGTGTTCGTGTAGTGGGGCAGCTGCCGTAGACGTAGGTGTGCGTGGCCGAGCAAGAGAGAGATAGATAGACAGACAGAAAGAAAGAAAGAGAGAGAGAGAGAGAGAGAATGATAAAGAGAGAAAGAGGGAGAGAGAGAGAGAGAGAGAGAACGAGCAAGCGAGCGAGCGAGAGAACGAATAGGGAGGGGGGAGTTTGGCAGATCGGTTAGGTTGGGTCGCGTTCTCGAGCAGACTATAGCGAGACACCTACATAACTGGCAGTCAGTGGCTCCCAGGGCCCCGCGCCGTCAGTCTCGTTGGGGTAGTTTCGTGCAACCGTGTGTCTCTCTTCCTCTCTCTCTCTCTCTCTCTCCCTCTCTCTCTCTCTTTCTCTCTATCTTCCCCTCTCTCTTTCTCTCAGTTCGGCCTCCCCTTTCTTTCTCTCTTTTCCTCCCGCTGTTACCCCTCCGCCTTCCTCCTGCTCTTCCGCAGTCTCTCTACCTTCCTTGTCGTCTCGTCCGCCTTCGCCTGCCACAATGATTGTTTCTTTTGCTCGCGCTTGCCATTGTCCGCAGTTTTCGCTCTACCCGTTCGTATGTCGCGGCTCTCGATAGTGGAGATTCGTCTTGCTTTCACGCCGGCCGCGCGCGTGAATAGTGAGTGATAAGGACACAATCGCGCCGTCGTGTCAAGTGGTGCGACGTATCGCAACCTCGAGTCAGTCTGTGCCTCCTCGTGGATGGACCCAGGATCTACCGGCGGTCCACGACTCGCTGATAAGGGCGAGGAACCGCGGTAGTTGTTCAATGCCCGTTCCGTGTCACGTCGACCGCATCCCGTCCGCGTAGCGGAGGGCGAAGAATCGCTCGCGGAACTCACTCGGGGTGAGTTTTAATGACACGCAGCGAAGATGGTAGAGCGGAGTAATTCGGATGAGATTCCGAGAGAACAAGGTGGAAAAATGAGGCGGTCGGAGCGACGTTGAAGTCCCGGACTGATCGTCTCCTACAGGTGAAACGTGGACATCGTGCCGAGCAAACGGGAAATTTATGGAAGCACCCCCGGGCACCCTGGACGAACTCCAATGAGTCGAATACGAACGACGCACCGGTGGGGTATTTAAACCGGCGTGTCAAGTGCGTCGACGAATGCAAGAGGGGGTCTCCTTTTAATCCTCCAGCTCGAGAGACCTCCGACGAGGCTGCGATGAGGATACCCTAGTTCCGCCGGAGAAACTCTACGGGACGAGGAGAGTGGCCATCCGCGTCTGTAGTGGATCTTGAAGACCGCCGGTGATCTGCCGGGACACTGTTCGCGGCAAGGTGGACGTTCGTCGTTGAAGTTTCGCGAATTCAGGGATACGGCCGGTGGTCGGTACGAAAGCTTCAAGATTGCTCGAAAACCGTCGCGCGAGGTGCGCAGGAGTGGAGGAGCTGCGGAAATAGGGGGTGCCGGCGTAATGCAGCGGGTGGGCGCAGCCGGGGGGCCCGGGCCCATCGGCTTCCAGGGCCCTCCAAGATCATTGAAGATCTCGCCGGTGAACATACAGGACGAGCCCAGCGATCCTACGCAGAGTGAGTACCACGTTAAATACGAAAACGCACCCTTGGCTTGATTACGAGTACGTTTGCGCGCGCTCAATTCATCCCTGAACTCTTAGGCCCGTAAATAGTAAACAAATTGGCCAATCACAGTCGACTGTTTTTCTTAAGGTCTGAGAATAATCGATCGTGGTTGGTCTATTTACGCGTGAGCCTTAATCCGGATCTATAATAGCGTGTAGTAAGCTTGAGCCTTTCGCTCGGAATAATAAAATGTAATTTACAAGAAAAGGCGTGCTGCTAAGTGTCGCAATAACACTGAAATCATCGAAATTGCGAAGTCTAGTAGTGTTAGAATAGCTTTGTACTAGAAATTACGATTTAGCGCTTTAGAACAGGAAGCCTATCACACCTGTCGTAGATTCGGATTTACCCCCATATTTTACAAAGCACTCCGCGTATGATCCGTCTGTGCGTCTATCGCAATCTATCGTGACTATTCTAGACATTACGACGGACAAATCATATTTGAAGTTCTCTCGAAATCGTTCACCGTGTAAGTCTGCAAGTTGTGTATATTCAGTATGAAATAAGATCGCTAAATGCGTGCAAGTTCGATTGATTTGGATAGAAACCACATTTGACAGGCTCGATTCACGTTATTATCTCGGACTCTCAACGCGAAGAATCGGCGGGGTGGCCGGGAAGTGCGAATACTTCACGACGTTACGTCGCGCCCTAAACGGCGTTGAAATTACCGGAAAGATTTCGTTTAGCTTGGCTAATAAGCGAGAGTGCATAAAGCATTCTTGTCGTGCGATAAGCTGACACTTGCAGGCAATCTTAATTGCAGGCTAGGGTAACGATGTGTAGATCGCGTTCAACCTTTGCAACAATCGCTCCTCTCTAGCATACAATTACATTGCGCAATTACGGTACGTAGAAAGTGCGTTTGTAGCAAACAGATTACGAGATAAATGAACGTCGGTAGTAATCAGGGGAATATCCAGACGCGGAGAGGCTGGACGAAGTTAGAAAATCTAAAATCGTTGGAAAGAAAGTAATTATTATAAGGCCATTGAAGGGATAAATAATCGGAAAGATTCACCGCCAATATAATGATTGCTTTCCAGCGAGATGACACAAGTCTAGCTGAATCATTATTTGCATTCGGTAAAGAAAAGGATAACATATTTAATTAAATAATTAGATCCGTGTCTCTTGCTGGGAAGCAACCAATATTGTATGATCTTTGGTTTCTGAGGCATCTTTTATCACGTATTAGCATTGTAAGGAGAGGAAGAATAGGGAATCGAATCCGGACGACTGTTCTATTCAAGCCCCACGCTTACCCGATCAATTTCGTCATCCTTGAAATGTTGCTATCTAACTGTTGTTCTAGAAAAATCCTTCCCCCCTCTGAAATTGTTTTCCCCAGTGGGTTTCAAACGCCCGACGTTGGAGACGTCCGAGTGCGCGTCTTTCACGACCCTGGGCAGTGACGCGGAGTCGATGATGCGCTAATGTCGATAGTCGTAGTCGACGAGTCTTTTTCGCGTGTTGCTGGCGCTCGTGATCTCGTTTATTATTAACTCGAGTTATCGCATTTTCATAATCGGATACATGGAATATTTAACGGCGCGAAACGATTCGCCGATGATTTTCTGTAATTAAATGTTACAGTATTGCGTTTAACACGTGTTTTTCGCGCGCACGCGGGGGACAAGCCGACGAGATCGCAATTATCGCGGGACGACATTAATATCTGCCGTATTTATCTCTCATAATTATTGCGGTGCTATGTTTTATTCGCGAGTAAGAATGGCGAACGCGTGCGTCCAACGCGGCGGCGGCGGTGCGTCGCGATGGGATCTCGCGGTCTTTAATTTATGCTCGCGATTAATTTGATAATGTTCAATGAGATGAATGAATAATTAAGTCGACGATAGCGAAACATGCCCCCGTCGTATATATAGACGTGTGCCCGGAAACAAGGAATAATTCAATGAATGTGTAAATTAAAAACTCGCGCGTGCGACCGCGCGATAAAGCGCAATGATTGAAATCGATTTCCGGCGAATTACAGTAATTCGGTAACACGGATGCGGAAGAAGGGAAACCTCGCTTCGACTTTGACGAGCGAACGTCGACCGAGATGTTGAATTTCTCGAGAAAGAGGAGCTGCCGGCAGCTTGGGATATTATTTGGCTGGAATCAAATAGACCCGAAATTTTAGCACGTCCTGGCGTCGCGCCAGTGAATATTCGGCGATTCCGGAGCGTTCAGGCCTCGCGGTTGTGCAGCGGAAAACGCACAATCTTACACTGAGTAATCTTAATTGCGATTAACAGTCGGACAACTGTATTCGATACGAGTATCTAAAGCGCCTCGCACGATCGCTTTGATTCACGCGGAATTCTATGAATTTAATTCATTTGTTCTCACTTAATCGCGGAACATGTTCTTCGCAAGGTCCGCCGCATGATGAAAAATAGACGGCCGGTTTTGCGCCGTACGGGAACGGTAATCAAAGTCTTTTTCGAAGAACGACGTACTTTTCTCGTCTCGGGAACACGATTAATCGAAGCGCGGGGATACGAGTAAATGATGAAGTCTCGCGTCTCTTTGAAATTCTACCAGTTTGTAATCCGTCGAAATCTTCATCCGACCTCGCTTAATTACGTTCATGCGTGCCGATTGCGAAACGAGCGCGACGAATAAGAGGTCCGCTCTTTCTCGCTAAACTGGCTGCACTAGCTTGTACCGGCTCATACTAGTTCTCCTCTTTCTTCCACCAAGTTTTAACTGTATATCTGTCTCTTTTTAAATTCTACAAATCTGCACGAGTTCAGCGAAAAAGAACAGATCTGAGGATTTTTTGCCTCGGCATTTTTCGCGAGATACGCAAACCGTTTCGTGGGATTCACCGAGTCTCTCTCTCTCTCTCTTTTCCTTTCTTTCGGTCGTCGAAATTTCGAATTACGAATAAAATATCAATTGACCCGCGTCGACGTGCGGTTGTAACGCGATTTTTTCAAGATGCAGAGGTGTACACGTGACGTACGTTCGCGTCAACTACCCTCTTAACTCCCCTAATGTGGAGGCCCTTGATGTGGCTTCGTCGCAAATTACGCCGCAGCGTGCAACTTTGTCCGCTATTTACGATCGCCTTATCAATATACGAAATTTCAGGAGGGAGGGGGAGGGGTTCTCGCTCGCTCCCACCCGGGCAGGTAAAAATGCGAACGCGAGCAATACCGCTGTCTCGCGTCTCGCGAAAAATGTCGATTCTCTCTTTTGCTCTCGCGTCCGGTCGGAACAGTTTACGTCGCTTTTAATTAACGGCTCATACATTTGCATGATTAGACCCTGAAACAGAGTTACGCGGTATCGGCATTCCGTGCATCGGAAACGACCGGGACATTAATGCCGAGATTCCTTGGACGCTCACCGACGGCGTATAACTCCGGCCTGACGTCGGCGTTAAATATTTAAATATTTGTTTTTTCCTCCCCCCCCCCC